CGCTATGTCATAGTGTGTGATTTTAGCAGAAGACTGGAGACTGATGGTACTGAATTAATAGCGAATTTCTTCTTTGGAGAGCATATGTTAGATCTATATAAAGAAAAAATGTTAATGATTTTTTTCTTTTGTAATTTTTTTGTAAAAAAAACCCACCAAACATAGCTTCTTATAACACAGCAAACAGAAAGTTTAAAGGGAGATTGTAAATTGGATATTGCTGGATTCAGGTAAAATTATTACTAACTTAACTTTAACCAAACATGTTTTGCTGTTGGTTCAGCATAAATCTTAGCTGTTACTTGTAATACAAGTTAGCCTATTCATACTATGTCGTTTGTATTTTTAATACACTCTAAACGGATTAAGTTTCTTATACTGTTTTAGAAACCAGGAACATAGTAATCAAACAGATTTTAAAATCAAACACGTTATATACCTTTAAGTATATCGCATGTACAAAGCTATAAAAATTCATATTCAGACACCAGCATAGGGAAAATTTCATTTCTAAGAAATGTTTGGATTGTTGTGGCAACGCACTTCCCTGAGTACCAGTAGAATAATAGACAAGTGCTTCAGTGGGATACCATGTCCGTTCTAGGTCAGTTCATGACATTTCCCCAGGACGCGACACACTACTTCCGTGATTACAATGCCTCGGTAAATAAACCCCCCCCCCCCCGGTGTGATCTCGAATTCAAAGGGAAGGCCACATTAGGGGGGGGCCGAATTAAAATTCCTCAAGCTCTACGTAAGCCGTTCACGGATCATTAATACACTGTGAAAGGTCACAACCTCTAGCAGTAACGCTTGGTGTATATCCTGTATATGTTTTCATCAGGACCAACCAATATTCGGCGACATGGGATCGATGCTGAGCTAAGGATTTAATAAATCTGTTGTGTGGTGCCAATAAGATTTGACCTAATTTGAATATCTAAATAAAAATCTGACGTGTTTTTAAAATATTAATAGCTCGCAATTTAATGTTTTAAGTTTTTAAATTTAGAAAAGAACCAATCTGCTGTATCTTTTGGCCTGACTTTACGTGTGTATGACGATTAAATCTCCTTACGATCTCCTTATGGTCAGCACTATGCCAAGCCGCCTTTACTTTCACTAAAGTCAGTTAGGTACCCATCAGAGTTGGGTGGACTCAGGGACTGTCTACTGACTTGAACCTGGAATCGAACTTGAGATTTACGAGTTAGCAGTCCAGCTCTCTACCACTAGACTACTCCGTCCCAAAAAATGAATTGAATTTATTTTTTTAACATTGTCATGGTGTGTCTAGAATCCGTGCCACCGGCATGGAAGCCGATTACACTAACAACTTAGCTATCTAGACTCGTTTTTTTCTCCTGGGGCACTTGAAATGTTCGGGCCAGGTGATGGGCAGACTAAAATTTTCGGGGGGAGGGGGTGGGGCGGATACTGTCAAAGTATATATTTTCTATATAAATTCAATTCGTTCAAAGGGGGAGGGGGGGGGGGGTACAACGACTTCAAATTTTGATTAAGTGAAAAACTCAAATCTGTTGCTATAATTATATATCTGAATTAGCAAGATTTGCTTAAACAATGAACAATTGACATTACTGTAGCTTCCAAGCACTCAGTGCTGATTGCGAACAATGTTTTAGCCTTATTAACGGAATAGAAGGTCAAGCAAGTGCATTTGGGGAATCTAATACGAATTAAATTATTTCTAAATGCTGGAAAAGACGAGGATTTAAACAAAGCATATAAGGTGTGGAAGCAAGGCAAGGTTAGACGCGAGAAATTATAAAGATGGAAAAAAATTGAAACCCCCTCCCATGAGACAATCCTAGCTAGGCCGCTGTGAAGAAATGAACCATTTCATTCAAATTTGATTTAGATCTACATACTTAAATTCTAGTAAAGTATTCAATACATAATATTATAGCAACCCACTCTTTTACAAGAGCTATCTAGATGTATCTTAAAGTCTTAAACTTAAACAAGGTCCTTTCATAAAAATGGGCCAAAAGCGTTTTCCCCTCGAAACACGTATTTGCTTACCTGGACGTACAATTAGATTGTTACCTTAAAAAAATAGTTTTAGCATAGATTGTTCTTGTTCTCGGTACCGTCCTTGCTTTTTGTATAAATGTTACTGTACGAAGCCCCACCCCCCGCGTAAGAACGTCTGAGCCCCCCCCCCCCCTCCCTAACTCAAAAGAAATTTCTTCATCGATACTCTATAATAAAATTACCGCCTAATTAATGTGTCTAATCTAAAAAGTGGTTTTCTTGCAATTTCTTTAATGCAATTCTTCGGGTAGTGGCTAAGCGCGACACCAGTGTTTCCTTCAGACTTTTTCCTCCCCGGAGAGGGGTGGGGGTACTTGAAATTTTCGGGGGCGGGGGTAGAATTTTCGGGGAGGGGGCGGACACTGGAAAAAGTATATAATTATATTTCGTTGAATGGGACGGTAGACATGTTTTTTTGGTGGGTGGGGGTGGGGGGTGGGGGGTATGTGTGTGTGGGGGGGGGGGGTGGGGTGGGGGGTGTGTGTGGGGTGGGGGTGTGTGGGGGTGGGGGGGGTGGTGTGTGTGGGGGGTGTGTGGGGGTGGGGTGGTTTTAGTTTAGAGAAAAGAGACAGCACTATCAGCCTAGCGCCCGTTGTATCCTTCCTCAACGGGCCATTTTTCTCGTATAATAATAGTTTCGCTGTCTGTGTATCTATGTATCTATCTATGTATCTATCTATGTATCTATCTGACAAGAACGCTCTAGAGAAAACACAAGCAAATTAAAAACATGCATATTAATTCGAAAAACGAAGTATGACGTCGTCACATTTAGCATAGTGTAGAAAATAATCTCAAGCAGGAGAGTGCACACAGTAATATGACGTCATTGATTCTCGAGTAAACATTGAATAAAAAGGCAATTTTGTCTAATCTAAATGGTTTGCTGTGAAGAGTTTCTTGCATACAATTCTTCGGGTAGGGGCGAAGCCCCATCCCCGCTTAAGAACGTCTGAGCCTCCCCTCCCCAACTCAAAAGAAATTTCTTCATCGATACTCTATAATAAAATTACAGCCTAATTAATGTGTCTAATCTAAAAAGTGGTTTTCTTACAATTTCTTTAATGCAATTCTTCGGGTAGTGGCTATCCGCGACACCAGTGTTTCTTTCAGACTTTTTCCTCCCCGGAGGGAGGAACTTTTTCTAATCTAAAAAGTGTTTAGCGTGCAGTTTTTTTTTTAAGCATCTCTTCCGGTAGGGGCGAAGCCCCGCCCAGATTCTTCCTTTAGTTTGTATGATCTACAAATGCAACCAGTGTTTCTTTCAGACTTTTTCCTCCCCGGAAAGGGGTGGGGGTACTTGAAATTTTCGGGGGCGGGGGTAGAATTTTCTGGGAGGGGGCGGACACTGGAAAAAGTATATAATTATATTTCGTTGAATGGGACGGTAGACATGTTTTGGAGTGTGTGTGTGTGTGTGGGGGGGGGGGGGGGGAGGGGGGCCAAGCCCCCTCCTCCAAAGTAGAGTTGCCTGAAAAAAACTCTAAATGCGACTTTTGTTATGAATGAGATTAGGTGCATGGTTTAGGGATATGCCTATGACTATATTTTGTATAAATTAAAGTACCGAGAAAATAGACAGCACTATCAACCTAGCGCCCGTTGTATCCTTCCTCAGCGTGCCATTTTCCTCGTAAATATATATATACATACATTTTTTTTTTAAGATCAGTGATATAATATTGTGTTTAAATTGAATTATTTAATTGAAAAGATATATTTTTAATGTGTTTAACCTGTATGGATCAAATAATAAAGTTTTGTTATGGTCTGATTGTTGAGCAAATAAAGGATATCCCGAGTCCAGCCTGCTCTGATGGGTAACTGACTCGTTAGGGAAGATAAAGACGACAAGGCATAGTGTTGACTACTACATCCCTTCATATGCCAGGATCACAGAAATAAGTGAACTTTACTTCATATGCCCTTTATAGACCGCCAGGCTGTAAAATATTACTTTTAGCATTAATATTTCTCCCTCTAAATTATTTCTTTAAAGTCAATGCCTATTGTTGCTCATATTTTGAAGCCATTGAAAGTAAGGAAAATGAGATTTTGTCTAATTATAATTATGTTACTCTTTTAATTGTTCTGCTTTTAATTGTTTTTTTTCTTTAATTTTACTACAATCTGAAGGCAACATTTTCCAAAACACGTTTTTCATCATTGTTAACAATTATAATAGTCGGGATCACCTTACCAAACACAGCGGATGATTTGCTTCAAAAGTATTTTTATTTGCGTTTTTTTTTAATACTAAAAACTAGAAGAAAAAAAGTAATAATAACTTCTATAAAAACATCTCTTGAAAAATAATATAGATTAAAAGGAAAATATTTTTTAAGGAGAGGCTTATATGGTCTCAAATAAACAGAGTTGCCCAAATCAGGTGGAAAGATATAGCCGGAACCTGCTCTTTCTCTGGTGTTCCAAAGTCTCAAAAGAAAAGAGAGAGAGAGAGAGAGAGAGAGAGAGAGAGAGAGAGAGAGAGAGAGAGAGAGAGAAAATAATGAAAAACTATTTAAATAAAGAAATATATTGGGTGCTTACACTATTTTTAAAAAAGGTATTCATATTTTTATATACTGACCCACGCTTTCTTGATAGTAAAATTAATAGTCGTGCATTATTACGTTTAAAGATAATTTTAGTTCGTATATAAAAGCATACAATATATACGTTTTTTATTAAATTTGTATTTAAAAAAAAGAAATTGCTTAATCAAAAAAAATTATAAACTCGTATAACAGAACAAAATGTTTCTATCCTTCGAAAGATTAATACGTATTAACAAAAAACATGATATCTATTTTTTTGGAATAGGCTACAGATTTTCAAACTTCGATTTAGAAGGGTTAATTTCGGGCAAACATTATAAACAGGCTAAATGTTATCTAACTTATATTACAATTTTTCTGTGTAAAGAAGCCAATTGCTATTTGACAAATAAGTACTACAATTGTTTTAAAAATTAAAACACAATTTAGAGAGAGTCAATAAAAAGATAAACTTATGTTGATTAGTTTCATTAAGAGAATTCAAAGAAAGCCTTGAATGTTTCCCATACACTTGTAGCGACTGTCGTGACTCCGTTCCACGCGCTCCTAGCAACCGACGAGACTCTGTCCCTGACGTTACTTGCTATTGTCTTAATTTTATCCAATATCTTGTATACAATTCCATTATTCTGTAGAAAAATATTTTATAAATAAAAAGCTTCTAAATTTTGATTTAACAATTGTTTTTGTCGCCTTAGTACAAATATAAGTATTTTAAACGAAATTGAAGTGAACTCTATTTTTCGTGGACTAAAATAATACGACCAATGTAGCATTAACATTATCATCAAGCTTTTATTACCACTACTATTACATACAGACATTGTCTTGTTCAATATGGGAGTGTAATTATTTGATTTTATCACTTTAAAGTGTAAAATAATCTATAGTTTGAAAACTTACAATGATAATAAAATAAAATACCTCTTTTTCAAGTTCTTTTACTATTTGTATTAAACTTGAGGCAACCTTGGCTTTATCAATTGGACATGGGGGGCTGTTAAAAGAGAATTTCATAAAAGTATCAATACATAGTCTTATAGACAATAGCGCATTGTAAATCCTAGTACAAAGCCCAGGGTAGGAACACGAGAATGGCCGGATGTTTCCTATGTCGCAGTAGTTGTTTAAACGAAACCATGGTTGATAACCTCTGTCTCCCAGGGCCCCACTCTTAGTTGGTTTCGAAGTTTTCACTCCAAGATGGATTTCTGTCCCCATCTGATCAGCCTCATCAGTCCTAAGGTTCGAACTCGTGACTTTATTGTTAGCAACTTAATCTATTGACTATAACGTTGATAACTATCCTCATGCCTCAGAAAATAATAACATTCCACTAATTATTACTAAGAAACGATTCTGAAGCTGCACTAAATAAAACTGACGTTTTTAAAACAAACAAATCATTTACCTGGACTGAATTCAATTAGTAAAGTGCATTCAAAATTAGCATAAAAATACAACTTACCTTATTTCCTGATAAATCTGGTCAGCAATGAATACACATAGTGTGTCATTTTGGCCTGAACTGAGGTATAGCTGCGTCATTTTCTAAGACATTAAACAATAATGAACAGATTAATATAGAGTTTGCATTTATTATTCAAAGTGGTAGTTGTAAAATAACAATTCATAAAATATATATTTTTTATAAAAAATATACATAATAAATTCACTGAATAAAATATATAAAAAGCTAACTCAGTAAATACTTTTATAAGTTTTATAGTAATTAATTTAAACAACCTACTTTGTATTGTTTCAAGAAACATACAATGAGAAGAATTAAAAAAAAAGATATTGCTAGAACAACATTTGATAAAACGTCTCAGGCTAGGGAAAATGGTAATAGAAATCCAAATACTACTCCGAGAAATCCTTTTAGTATTCTGAGATTTCAACAAGGGAGGCCACTTAGTTAAACACGACCAGCAAAGTGTGGACCTTATTTTTAGAATGTATTTGACTATCAAGCACACTTTCCGATGTATTGATTTATTTTTATCCACCAATAATGAGGATTTTTTTTTCAAAGCAATACACTACTTTGGGTGATTTCTGTTTTTACAATACATGTAAGATTTAAACATTTTGAAATATTTTTTTGCTTTGTAAAATATTAACGCCAAATAAGTTTTAATTTCTAATCTTGCTGTCTAGCACAAAGTCATCTATTAATTGTGGTGGATATTTTTGGTAAGCACCCAGTTCATAATATATAATAATACAATACAATCAGCATCATTCGAATAAAAAAAAGTATTGATTTAAACAAGGGAAGCGAAATCCAATTATTTTTTACATTGGTAAAAAACTGATTACTCCCCCTTTTAAAAGGGTTCTTTCGCTCATCTATAAGAGGTTAGTTGTAAGTGTCGATCAATTAAAGCTTACTTTGTTTTTTACATCCCATTTAATCTTCGTATTTTTCTGACCATGAAAAAAATCGCCCCAATTGTGTTGTCTCTAAAATAGCATTGTTCAATACTAATTATAAAAACACAATCTATTTTATTGAGCCAAATGGGTGTCAGTACCAACAACACAGAACAATCAGTGTTTTTATTTGTACATTCTATGTCGATGTCAGGAGCTGTTATTAATTTATAAAAATAGAAAAAACAATAAAACCATTATTCTATAAAGTACTTAGGACATCATCGACAAGTTTCTTTTTTAATGTAAATAAACCGAGAGTGATCTCCCCTAAACTTTCTCGAATATTCTCATATAAAACAACAGGGGATAGGAACTCGGGCTATAGACATGATTTTTAATCCATTTTAAATACTTAAAGTTTTAAAAATAGAATAAAAACTCGTAGGCAAAAGAATTGCACACCAAGTGAACGCCAAATAAAATAAACCGGGAGTGATCTCCCCTAAACTTTCTCGAATATTCTAATACAACACTACGGGGGATAGCAACTCGGGATATAGACTTCTAGACATGATTTTTAATCAATTTTAAATACTCAAACTTTTTAAAATAGAATATAATCACGTAGAAAAAAGAATTGCACACCAAGTGAACGCTAAATAAAGATGTGCATAATAGTGCGCAATATTATTAGTACTTTATAAATTTACATGTGGTTTTTGAGAAATCGGAAATAGCGTAAATTAGTACTTCCGGTAAACGGAAATTACTCAAAATTTAACAGAAGGTAGAGAATTAGATCTTTTACTTACATATCAAATTTCATTTATCTATCTGAAATAGTACTCAAGTTATAGGCTTTTGAAAAACTCAAAGTAGAAAAAGTACCACTTCCTGTTATCGGAAATCGCTCAAAAGTTGATACGGATCTACGATTTTGATAAAATACTTATATATGAAATTTCATCAACCTAGCTGTAACGGTACTTAAGTTATCGTGTTTACACACGGACACACACACACACACACACACACACACAGACAGACACACAGACATACGGACAAGATTGCAAAATTATGTTTTTCCGTATCAGTGAGGTGTAAAACGTCGAAATTTGTAAAAATCTCGATTTTTTTTTTTTGCACGATTACAAGACTTTCTCTGTACTTCGTATATACGAGAAAGTAAAAAGTGCATAATAGTGCGCAATATTATTAGTACTTTAAAAATTTACATGCGTTTTTTTTAGAAAAGTAGCGTAAATTACTATTTCGGGTCAACGGAATTTACTCAAAATTTAACAGAAGGTAGAGAATTAGATCTTATACTTACATGTGAAATGTCATTTATTTATCTGAAATAGTACTCAAGTTATAGGCTTTTGAAAAATTCAAAGTAGAAAAAGTTCCACTTCCGGTTATCGGAAATCGCTCAAAAGTTGATACGGATCTACGATTTTGATAAAATACTTATATATGAAATTTCATCAACCTAGCTGTAACGGTACTCAAGTTATCGCGTTTACACACGGACACACACACACACACACACAGACAGACACACAGACATACGGACAGAATTGCAAAGCCCAGTTTTTCAGACTGGATTACGCATAAAACCTCTTAATTTTGATAAATCTGGATTGATAATTTTTGCCCGATTAAAATAAGTCCTCTATACTTCGGATGTGATGAAGGACTGAGGTGTAATACGGTGAAAATTGTTAAAATTTCAAGTGATTTTTGTGCACGATTACAATACTTTCTCTATACTTCGTTTATACGAGAAAGTAAAAAGAAACGATTCATCCAAGATTTCGACCGAAACATTCATGTTTGGTGTTACAAATAAATCTAACAAAGCAACTTTTTTTTTTTTTTTTACAAATTTTCGCTTTCAATCACAAAAGACATTTTGTATGATTAAAAAAAGGTAAATTGTTTTTTTAAACTGATTATCTGTACCTAATTTTATGACGACGCCTGGTCGTAAGGAGATTTAAATGATGTATCCTAGACGACTCATTGATACAACTAGTTCTTTACAATAAAAATAATACCATGCTAACAACACACTTCTTCAGTTTTTTATATATGATAACATCTCCGCACTAAAGCGAGACTGCTGCATCAAATCAGCACATTTACAAATACGTTCTCATAAGCCGTGACGCTGACATAAGGAAATGGCATTTCCAAGTAAGAAATGTTTGGATTGTTGTAGCAACGTACTTGTCTCCAGCAACAGGATGGTAAATACGGAGGTACGTTCGTGGAATGTCGTTTACAGCAACATGAGGGTTAATATAGAGGTACGTTCGTGGAATGTCGTTTACTGCAACATGAGGGTAAATATAGAGGTACGTTCGTGGAATGTCGTTTACAGCAACAGGGGGGTAAATACAGAGGTACGTTCGTGGAATGTCGTGCCCCCCCCCCCCTTAAGATCAGCTCACATTTCCCCAGGGCAGGACGGTACTTCCGTGTTAACAATTCTCGGGAAATAAACGCTCGGTGGTATGATCGAGTACAAAAGGTAGACCGCACTGGGGAGGGGGGGGGGAGGGGAATTAAAAACCTCCTCAAGCTCCAGACAACCTATTTACGGTTCAGTAAATCGCTATGTAAGGTCACAACCTCTAACGCTAACCTTGGTTTAAACTATTTCCGTCCTATTATTAGGTAAATCGGTCCACGCAGATGTTGAAGACAATTTAAATCTTATAGGTAAATGTAACATACTACACACAGCCTGAAAATATTTTCCTTTATTTGGGGAACTTATCTTTTACTGACTCAGATTACATTAGTTCAGTAAAACCACATTACGTGAATGTGACAGTAAAACCACATCACATAAATGTGACAGTAAAACCACATCACGTGAATGTGACAGTAAAACCACATCACATAAATGTGACAGTAAAACCACATTACGTGAATGTGACAGTAAAACCACATCACATAAATGTGACAGTAAAACCACATCACATAAATGTGACAGTAAAACCACATCACATGTACAGTGACCATAAACCAACATCACGTGACTGTGACAGTAAAACCACATCACGTGACTGTGACAGTAAAACCACATCACGTGAATGTGAACGTAAAACCACATCACAAGTGAGTGTGACAGTAAAACAACATCACGTGACTGTGACAGTTAAACCATATCACATGAATGCGACAGTAAAACCACAACACTGAATGTGACAGCAAAACCAAATCACGTGACTGATAGTAAAACCATATTAAAAGTGACTTTGACAGTAAAACCACATAACGTGAATGTGACAGTAAAACCACATTACATAAATGTGACAGTAAAACCATATCACATGTGCAGTGACCATAAACGAACATCACATGACTGTGACAGTAAAACCACATCACGTGAATGTGACAGTAAAACCACATCACGTGAATGTGACAGTAAAACAACATCACGTGACTGTGACAGTTAAACCATATCACATGAATGTGACAGTAAAACCACATCACAAGCAAGTGTGACAGTAAAATCACATAACGTGAGTGTGACAGTGAAACCACATCATGTAAATGTGACAGGAAAACCACATCATGTGAATGTGACAGCAAAACCACATCACGTGACTTTGACAGTAAAACCACATCACGTGAGTGCGATAGTAAAACCACATCACGTGACTTTTACAGTAAAACCACATCACGTGAATGTGACAGTAAAACCACATCACGTGAATGTGACAGTAAAACCACATCACGTGAATGTGACAGTAAAACCACATCACGAGTGAGTGTGACAGTTAACCACACCACCTTAATGTGACAGTAAAACCACATCAGAAGTGAGTGTGACAGTAAAACCACATCACGTGACTGTGACAGTAAAACCACATCACTAGTGAGTGTGACAGTAAAACAACATCACGGGACTTTGACAATAAAACCACATCAAAAGTGAGTGTGACAGTAAAACCACATCACGTTACTGTGACAGTAAAACCGTATCACGTGATTGTGACAGTAAACCACACCACGTGATTTTGACAGTAAAACCACACCACCTTAATGTGACAGTAAAACCACATCACAAGTGAGTGTGACAGTAAATTCACATCACGTGACTGTGACAGTTAAACCATATCACGTGAATATGACAGTAAAACCACATCACGTGACTGTGACAGTAAAATCACATAACGTGAGTGTGACAGTGAAACCACATCATGTAAATGTGACAGGAAAACCACATCGCGTGACTGTGACAGTAAATTCACATCACGTGATTTTGACAGTAAAACCACATCACGTGAATGTGACAGTAAAACCACACCACCTTAATGTGACAGTAAAACCACATCACAAGTGAGTGTGACAGTAAAACCACATCACGTGACTGTGACATTTAAACCATATCACGTGAATGTGACATTAAAACCACATCACAAG